TTTTTAAAAATTCGGGTTGGGTTGGTCGGGTTCATCGGGTTTTTGAGCACCCCTATGCCTAACAGCCTTCTTCCAAAAGTTACAGTAACAACATTCATTATCATAACAGCTTTATTTGGTTTTCACCAGCTACATTCAATTCTTTTTGTTTTTATTACGTTGAAGAACTTTACAAGATATCTTGTGCGAGTACACAATGGACCACTAATGAACCAAACCCCTCCCAATTGAACAGAAAACTACAACCATACTTGAAAGTAACAGTTCTTTGTATTGCTAAACTGTTCAACTTTAAACATCACAACTGAATCAGAAAAACTGGGGGAAAACGTTATTCACTATGCAAAAAACCTCATAAGAGCATATTCAATAGGTATGCTATATTTTTTTTTTCTCATTTATTCCAAATTGGGAGATTTTCCCATTCTCTCTCATTTTTTTCTGCTTTTGGAGCAAACTTTTTCCAAATCTCTATTTTTTTAAATAGCACACTTGTTAAAGATAATCTAAAATATTAAGGCGAATGATCGTGTGAAAATGAAAGTTAAGATTAGAAGCGCAAGAATGAATCTGGACCCTTGATCATCTTTAATCTCAAACTCAACCATGAATTGCACTTGATACATGGATTGATCCGGTGCATCTTAATGCATTTCATTCCAATATGCATCTAAGGGTGGAGATCCCTTCTTTACGCTTATCACTGTAACTCTCATTTTCATCAGATCCCAACCCAAAAGATTAATCCATTTAGTATAATTCATATATACATGTACACACACACACACAAAATCGTGTAAGAATAAGAATTAAAGTAATAAATGTAAGAAGAGATTTGGACCCTTGATCACTTTTAATCTCAAACCAACCCCTGAATTGCGTTTTACAAGAGAATCGATCTGGTGCTTCTTATCAGTGTTGATCTAGTGAAACTTTTCAATTATGATTGATCTTAAGGTGAAGATCTCTTTGTACCCTTCTTATCGTGACTTTTATTCTCATCAGAATCCATATATATATATATATATATATATATATATATATATATATATATATATATATATATATATATATATATAACACTTTTTGTAAAATTAAAGGTTTTATTGATAATTTTCAAATTTGTATGAAAAATACTTGGGAGGCATAGGGACCACGTAGGTGTAGCACAAGGGGGTAACGTGTATAGTTTTTATACCTAAGAGGTTAATTTGCTAAATTGATCAAATGTCCCTCAATTTAAGTTTAATAATAAATTACATTTTTGTCCTTATGGTTCGTTGAAATTTGCTATTTTCGTTCATGTATGTTTTCGTTTTTATGATTTACAATTCGATGTTTTCGTATTTTAAACTCAAAGATAGAAGTTAGCTTTTCGACGAAAATAACAATAAACTGCAAACCACAGTGACAAAAACTACAATTTCAAAACTTACAAGCTTATATGAGGATACTTTATACAGAAAACCAAGTTTTTTCAAACATGTCCCCCCTGGTTAAATAACATGCTTCTTCCATCTATGAAAAAATAACAAACTATAACGACGAAGAAACGTAATTTGCTCTATGTTTAATTTTCATAATCTGTTTGAAAATGCAACATCTAACCTGATATAAAATTTTAGAAAATTATTTGACAAATGATCAAGGAAATGGAAGAAAAGATAAAAATACCCTTTCTTAACGGATAATTTTTAACGGAATTGGTGACTAGAGATCATTTTAAGAGCAAAATGCAAACACAAGTATAATTAATAGCGTGCAAAAAGTCATCTGATTCAATTTAAACCGACTGATTCAAATAAATGAATAGTTGGTTGAAAATTGTATCAAAATATCAGATGGATCCAATGGATAACCAGTAGTAATATTCAGTACATGGAACCGATTCGATCCAATCATCAGTTGGATCAAATGATTTCTAGACTTATCAAATATTAGTCCCCCATTCGTATACTTCCCACTAAACCTTAAGGACTAAAATTAAATATCACTCTAAGTCTAAGGTTCTTAATGTCTTTTAGCATAAGTATAGGGATCATTTATGTAGTTTTATCAAAGAGAGACGAAAGCAAATTAGAGCTCATATGGTGTGGCCTTTCTAAACCCTTCGTATGTTGTTCTCCAATGGGGGTTTTAGGAATCACAAGAAGGAGATTTGATACATTTTTTCATATAAAAACTAGAATTCGTAGAAAAGTGTCATGTGATTATATACAGAAGAGAGAATTATCATCAAATTACTTGAAGAATGATTCGATTTTGCCAGTTCTGATCGTCGGTGCTGGTCCAGTTGGACTTGTTCTCTCTGTTCTTCTAACCAAATTAGGTATATTTCCTGCAACAATCATGTACCTAAATTATTGTTCTTTTTCATGTATATTCTTGTTGAATTAGAGAAGCGTTTGGTTTATGAAAGTTAATTCGCTTCACATATTGGGTGTTGTCAATTGTGCTCGTAATTTGTATGCTGGAACGATGGAGACTATCGTTTTCATCTGTAATAACCTATTTGAATTTTAATTGTATTGGTCTTAATGAGCATTGATAATTTGATGGATTTCCATTTTAATTCGTGATTGCTACTCCTTCAGTCCCAATCAAATGCAGCAATCTCCTTTTTGAGGGAGTTTAAATGACATAATTGATAAAATAATATTGATCGCATCTTGAAGCATTGTACAAGTGCTTAAGGCTCCTTCGGGTTTTGTCTCGACGTTTCTCTATTTGTCATTGTTGAATGGGAATTTAAACATTAAAGTAATAGGTTAAAAAGGCTTCTGTAAAACTACACGTCGCATTTAATTTGGTAAGGAGGGAGGATGATCTTATTAGCCTCGACCTGGTGTATTGACTGACTTTGTTCTGCTTGATAGAAAATCTTTGCTTTTTGTATAGAATTTTGAATATTTTTGGTGCAAAGAATATTCGAACTTCGAAGTAGCTCCTTATAAGTCGTGAAGATCTTTTTGAATTATAAGAGGGAGATTGCAGCCATCCAATGGTGTTTGTTTTTCTCACTAGTATAAAGGGAATTGAGGATCCTGAGTATAACCCAGTGATCATATTACTGCTACTCCATAGAGCCCTTTTTTGGTTGCAGGGATAACCCAGAATTAGATAAATGAAAATCACATGCATATAACCACAAACTTATTAACATGGTTCACCCAACTGGGCTACCGCCATGGGCATATGGGTTTTTCACTAGACGGAGAACAAAATATACAAGAAAAAGTGAAAAAACTGATGGGCCGAACCCTAAAGCATGTGCCAATTCATGGGAGTGTCTTTCATGTAGGGGTTTAGAATCTCATTTGGGTTAGGATTGAAGGCATCCCAACAATGTTAATATTTGTGGGGCGAGGATAAGTGCTTTTAGAATCTGAATAATCAAAATATTGATGTGGTTTGAACTTCGGTATGTTCTCTTTTTAACTCCAGGTTACCTTACTCTGTCTACTTGTTCTTTAAAATAGCACTTATATGATCGAAGTTTGGCATGTTAATTGCACATTTTTAGTCTTTTGGTTTCTCATTAGTTCTATACTACTGCTCTTTCTTTTTATCTAAACTGGAGCTAACGTGCCACATGCATTTCTTGGTTTTGACCTTCTGGTAGGTGTCAAATGTGCAGTTTTGGAAAAAAGCATGACCTTCTCCAAACATCCACAAGCACATTTTATCAACAATAGGTCTATGGAGGTTTGTAGCTTATGTTGAAAAGCAGTGAAATTAATAAGAAGTTGAAGCATCAGTAAACATGTCTACTTTGTTTTGATGTAGATTTACTTGTCAGGTGTTCCGCAAATTAGATGGCTTAGCAGAGGAGATTCAACGGTTTCAACCACCTGTAGAACTTTGGAGGAAGTTCATATACTGCACATCACTGACTGGTTCTACTATAGGATCTGTAGACCATATGCAGACTGAAGGTAGAGCTTACTTCACAATATTACTTATAAATCTATTGTGCCATTCAAAAAAAGAAGTTAATCTAACATAGTTGTAAGCTTGGTTTTTTGACCCCACCGGAACTACTTTGTCACATATTAAGTGATTGGACATGATGATAATTCTTGTCTGGTTGTTGATCATGGAGGTGTGAAGAGCAGCTTATTGATGATATTCTTTTTATACCCTGATTAGATGTTTGTTTGGCCTCTATATGACATAAAACAAGTTTTGGTCACTTACAACTTGATATTTATTTTCCCATTGTATCTCATATTTGAGTAGCCTTTTGCCTAAAGTTCTACTTTTTGGCTACATAACAATTTCTGACACATTTACCTTATATGAGTCATAATAGCAACATCATTTCTAACAAGGATAAACTGGTGAAGTGACAAACTTTTGTCTAGAAAGTAGGGCTGATGTGCAATAAGTGATTGAAACATGAAATAGAGTGACTGAATAAATAGTTTCAGTAATATAGCAGCCAATTGTTCTTGATCGCATGAAATACAGTGATTGATTGTTCTCTCATATGCAGATTTTGACAAGATTGTCAGTCCAGTATCTGTGGCACATTTCTCACAATACAAACTTAATGGATTGCTACTTAAGCAACTTGAAACTATTGGATTCACTATTCGTAATCATGAGGGGTTGGATCACAGACCGCTGGGGGAAAGGGAGATACTGATGGGACACAATTGTATATCAGTTGACGCAACTGATAACGTCATTAATGTAACCACATCTTTTGTGAAGGAAGGGAAACACATAAAGAAACAGATTCCATGTAGTTTTCTAGTTGGTGCAGATGGTGCAGGAAGTACACTGAGAAATCTGGTTGGAATAGAAATGAGAGGTGAAAAAGACTTGCAAAAGCTTGTTAGCGTCCATTTTCTTAGCCAAGAGCTTGGGCAGTACTTGATGTATGAGAAACCGGGCATGTTATTTTTTATTTTCAATCCTGAGGCCATTGGGGTTCTTGTTGCTCATGATTTGAAGCAAGGAGAATTTGTATTGCAGGTCCTGGCAATTTCAGTCCTTTTCTTTAAAATTCCTCCTCTTTTTATGTTTTAGCGTTTAAATGCAACCGTGGGGAAACATGGTATTTATTTTTTTGATACTATTTTACAGATACCGTTCTATCCACCACAGCATAATTTTGAGGATTTCACATCTGAGGTACTTATCTCTCCTTAATATAATCTTTTATCATCGCATGAGATGAAAGAGGCTTCTTCTGCGAAAGGATTACATCCCTGAAACTTCTGAACTTGGAGAATTGGGAATTTGCAATGTTTTCCCCATCTAATCTAGAAAACTGCAAGAAGCTCTAACGTGAGTGAAACTGGGCTTAAATTCCATTAGAGATCAGAAATCCTTGAAGTTCTAGCTCAAACTTGAAATGGATTGTCATATTGCCAACCAAATAGTGTAACCCCAACCAAGCAGCTACAAATCTTTCTCCCATGTCCAAGTGGGATAACGTTAGTGTCACAACCTTCCTACTAAAAACAAGTACTAGATTGATCGGTTTTCTTGAGCATGTAATTCCAATTCTTCTCTGAAAAAATTTCAACTTTCTGTAGACGTGTAAGAGGTTAATCTTCAAATTGGTAGGACGAGAACTAGCAGACGTTAATGTGGTAGACATAAAGCCATGGGTGATGCATGCTGAAGTTGCCGAGAAGTATCTTGCGTGTGAGGACCGGATAATACTTGCTGGTGATGCTGCTCATCGGTTTCCTCCAGCTGGTGGTTTTGGTACGTAAAACTTCCTTCTGGAAATATCGGAAATATTACTTGTATCTCTGAGCTACAAAGACCCCAACTGTAGTCTGCTACTCTAATCTTCCGTCTCCAAGAACTTCTATCAGAGGTAGTATCCTTGGAAATACCTAAAGCCGTCGAGGAATACATTTGAATTAGAACCTATAAAATACTCCATCTGCTTTAAGGCTAGGGACACTGATTCTTCTTGTGTCCTCTCTACTTTGTACTGTTGCAGGGATGAATACTGGCATTCAAGATGCTCATAACCTTGCATGGAAACTGGCTGCAATCGTCAAGGGTATAACTCCAATGTCTATTCTTCCCACTTATGAGATGGAACGTAGGCCGGTACTATCTTGCTTCGTGTTCATATTTTTTTTTTCTCTGTACTTCCTCCCATGAGAATTGCAATATTTGACTTCATACACCAAGTAAACTGACTTTTTGTCAAATATCTAAAATACCCTCCAATAAAGAGAAATATAGGAACCTTGTTGATCCAAATCAATACCATTAGGTTACTTGTAATGATCATAATGGTCAAATAGATTATTTTAACCTAGATTCTTCCCAGAAAAAGGAACATGTTGCTATTTTCATGGAAGGAGGGAGTATTTGTCACCCTTTTTTATATTCGATTTGCAGAAAACTAGAAGCTGAACATGATTCTTTAACTGGTAGATTGCACTCTTCAATACTTCTCTCAGCATCCAAAATTTTCAAGCAGCAATGGCAGTTCCTACTGCACTTGGTCTTGATCCAACCATTGCGAATTCAGGTGGGGTTTCGAAGCTCAAGTATTTTTCCGGGATTTTATTCTAGATTTTGGCTTGTTCATGGACGTGTGATTCACTCATTCTTTTTCCTTACTATTCCCCTTTTACTTTGTATGGTTTGTAGTACATCAAGCTATCAATAGCTCAGTAGGTACAATCTTACCACCGGGGCTACAGAAGACTCTGCTAGATGGGATTTTCAGTTTAGGCCGTGCACAGCTCTCAGATTTTGTTTTGAACGAGGACAATCCTCTTGGATCTTCACGGCTTGCTAAAGTAAGGCGGATTTTTGAAGAAGGAAAGAGCCTTCAACTACAGTTCCCTGCTGAGGATTTAGGTTTCAGGTATGATCTCCGTTTTCATTTTCATGGGAATAGCTAAACACGGTGCACTCTCACAAGATCTGCACCATGGTCATCCCTTAGGGTGTGTTTGGTACACATACAACACCGGACCCCAAGCGGCTCTAGATTTAGGGGATCTTGCTATAGCCGAACACGAGGGGAAAATGCATTTCTAATTGATAATGCTATTAAGAATTTTGATAGGGCGAGTGTTTAGGTAGGTGGGTGAAAAAATTGTGCAAGGTTTTAAGGTTGTAATTTGACATGGGTAACTTAGTAATTTAAAAATCTTGTTCCCATCTCCCTGATTTTTGTTCCACCTAATTTGGTGGGACAAAAAAGTTCAATTTTGTTGTTTCTTAGCAGCTTAATGAGCTTAATGACACTTGCAGCTTATTCGGTCAGCTATACATGATTGTTTGAGTGTTTGGTGGTGGCTTAATGATATAGAAAGTGGCTTATTCAAAAAGCTTTTTGGAGAGAGTTTTATGCAGAAAGCCAAGTTTTTTTTTTTCCAAACCCGCCTCTCCCAATTAAAAAAAGAACACTTTCCATCTATGAAAAAACCCTCCAAAACAAAAACCATCCGAATCCATACAAACAGATTAATCCACACAAACATCTTCATCCATACATGACTTGATGAAAAACCAACCAAACATACCCTAATTGTTGCAACAAGTGTGGAACAAGCATTTTTTTGTTCCCTCCTGTCCTATCCCGTCCCATCCTTGGTGCAAAATATCTTGTTACGGCATCTAGTTAATCAAACACCCATCTAAATCTAATCTAACCCCAAGATTTCCGTCTTAGATACCGTGAAGGAGCACTGTTACCTGAACCCAACGATGAGGGCTTTGTGCCAAACAAACCAGAACCCCCAACTGGTCGTAGGCAGGAATACATTCCGTCAGCAGATCCAGGCTCAAGGTTGCCTCATATGAATGTTCGGGTGCTATCCGAAGTTACACGAGAGGTATGCAGTTCCAATTTCCGTCATCATTTCCAAAACTAGCCCTCTAAAACCTATCTTTATGTTGGTCTTTCGCTCATACACACAATGTGTTTTAGGCAACAATTTCCACATTGGATCTTATCTCCAGAGACGAAGTCGAGTTTCTTCTGATAATTGCACCAGTAGATTCATCCTATCGGCTAGCTCATGCCGTACTTAATGTTGCCAATGAACTTAACATTTTGGTTAAGGTGTGCGTTATGTGGCCAGACGGTTTAGTTAACGTAGACGCAAGAAGCAAGGAATCACTGGCACCCTGGGAAAACTATATTGATGTTGTGGAGGTAAGACGGGAATCAAGTTCATCGTCGTGGTGGGGTTTATGTAAAATGACACATATGGGAGCTATTTTGGTTCGGCCGGATGATCATATCGCTTGGCGTGTGAAATCAGCCATGGTTGGCGATATCCAGCTCGAGATGAAAAGGGTTTTCTCAGCCATTTTAGGAATAGGATCATAGTATAGTTGTTTTTAGCTATGCTCATAGAAATTTAGCAATGATCATGTATGTCTGTGATGATTAATGTTTATTCAGATGCTATGTAATAATATAATTCTGTCCATTTATTTATTATCTAAGGCATTGTTTGGTTGGTTTCTTGTTAAGTCTTTATTATATGGATAAAACTGTTTGTGTGAATTAATTTCTTTTAGGTTTTTTTATAAATGGAAGTTTTGATAGGGAGGGACATGTTTGGAAAAACTTGACTTTCTGCATAAAGTCCCTCCTATAAGTTTATTACACAAGCCACTTTCTATAGTATTAAGTCACTACCAAACAATCATGTATTGTTGGCTGAGGAGTAGATATATTCATTTAACATCCATTCATAACCAATGAGTATCACACTAAGGGTGTGTATGCGCATTGGACGAGACATACAAGAGCGAGCATATTTCTGGTGAAATAGAAAAAAAAAACATTTTTATCCCACTCAGGTTCTGTCTTGTTCGGTCTAATTTCACATAAAAGATAAGAGAATATCCCGTCATGCCCCTCGCACCAAACACACAATCCATCAACACGCAATCTATCAAAAAACAATTCAAAGTTTGGAAACGCGTATGGAATATCTTTTTGTCGGACATGACTATAAATATCACATTTGAATACAGAACTAACTTTAACGTTAAACCAAACAAAACAAACCCAACAAATCCAATGCAAAGACAGTGTCTGAATGGTGACGGAATATCCTTTTGTCGGACATAACTATAAATATCACATCCGAATACAAACCAACTTAATGTTAAATCAAACAAAAAAACCCAACAAATCCAATGCAAAAGTAGTGTCTGAATGGTAGGATATATGCAAACGATATCTCTAACCGCCATCAACTTAATACAAAAGAAACATAAAAAGAACTCGCCTTAAAATCATCAATCAATCAAGTTACAAAATAGGCCAGAAACAAATCTTCACATTCAAACAACAATCAACAACTGTTTTAATGCTTAGTAGTAACACAAATACTAAAAAGAATTAGGGCTTTTCTGCTCTGTTGTGCTCTGTCCTATATATATATATATAATACCAAATATAAATCACTAAGCCAAAAAAATAAAGATTGAAACCCCCATAAGCTCTAACCTACTAATTAACTTTACAATACTTACACAAATCAAATCAAGTGGAACCCAAAAATCAGAAGTTCAATATTTCTCCCAAATACTTGATTAAATTCTCTCTCACATTATTCTGCAGTTGCATTTAGATTCTAGCTTTGGAGGTTTGGTGTTTTCTTTGTTATTAGGAAAAACAATTCGGGGTTTCGGTAAATCAGTTTCCTCACCGATATTTGTGTTGTTAGGAACTTCTGCTGCTGCTGCTTTCGTTGCTTTTTTCTGTCTCGCCTTTTGGGACTTTGATGATGACCCTTTGCTGCTTGTTTTTCTGATTTGAACCTCTTTTCTAGCGGAGTAACCTTTTCCTACAGCCGGAACGAGTGGCCAAGAACCATTGTTGTTGGGTTGGGTTTCTTTCTCGATGGCTATACTTGCAGCCTCGTAGGCTAAGTTATGAACTATCGAGCTGCAAAAGAGTATGGTGTCCGTTGCTTCTTCTAATGTCAGGCTTCTACCCTTTATTCCCCCTTGGCCTTTGACCAAAACCATAGATTCCTCTGTGTGCCATATAGGAATCTTTACGTTAGTATACAAAATACTGCAATATTTGACTTGACACAGTTTAATAGACGTGTTTGACTATTAATCAACTATCACTACAACAAAATTGGCTTTATAGGACACTTTATTTTAAAGGCGTCCTAAAAACTTGTTGAAACGCCTAAAAGAGCCCTATAAACCTTTTTTAACACTTTTAGATAGGACGCTTTTGGTTTGGTTCTATAAACTTAAGTCGTATAAAGTCATTTATTAGCATCCCACAGATCCAATTTTGTTGTAGCGTATCTAAACATATCCTTCAAATGTTACGTTTGACCAGAAACATAGTTTTATAAAACTGTATCTACCAGATGCCTTATAACATCCACTAGTAACAGAATCTTGTGGACCGAATCAATAGCATCTATAAGGAGTGGACATAGGCAAATAAGCAATTCGAACTCTGAAATTTGCCAAAAGAAATGTTGCAATTTTCATGGGATAAACAAAGTAGTCATCATCTCTCTATTTAGCTGCCATATCGAGTGCACATAGATTAGAATTTAGAAGGTTTCCTAAATTTCAGCCATTGACTTACTATTTAGACGCTGGTTAACAGGTCTCATGGGTATCACCTACAATATACCAAATGAGGGCGAATAGAGAAAAAAGGTTGCGATAAATTAAAACTCAAAGATGTACATACCGATAATGCTGCTTGAATGATTTGAAGTATCGCAATCCGTGGCAGAAACTGCTATATCTTTAGTAAGTGCTGTAGGAACATGAGGGTCCTGAAATTCTTCTATGCTGCTATCTGAACGTTGAGAAACGTTACCTTGTGAAGTATGAGAAGACGAACAAGAATGACCAACTTCTCCTTCTGATATGGCACCCAGTTGCACTTCTGCAACATCAATGCTCTCGACACAAGGATCTAGACTCGTATCTTCCTCAGAAGTACAAGCCGTTAAAGCATCAGTATCCTTTCCCGACTCTTCCACTTTCTGAAACGAAGCAGGCTCTTCAAGATTTGAAGATTCAGGTGAATCAAGAGCTGTTTGACCGATTGTTGGCAGTTCTGGGGTTGAAGCAATTTCCACTCGAACGTTATTCACATCTTCATTTTCACCCGAGTTTTCTTGAGAACCTACAGTTGCAGCAGTAGCAGCGGCAACATCTTTCACCCCACGGACGATAGATGTCTCAAATGAATCAAGTGTGCTTGTTCCAACACTTGAAGGACGGAAAGCGTGACTAGAAGTCCCAGATAAAGACGATACACTACGTTGATACTTGTGATTTTCTATGTCAGATTTCCTGCTACTCAATTGACGGTGTAAACGAGGGTCGGTATGCATAGCTGGTCCAAAGTCAACAGACGATGATGCAGACACACTCCCGCGTCCCACAGAGCTTCTCATGCTATTTGTACTTCCCCTCACATACGAAAGATCATCATACGAGATGCTACTGGCTGAAAAGTTCCCACTTCGGAAAACAGGACCCTTTAAGCTACTTGACCTTTTCATCACTGTTGAAATGCCTTCTCCTATAAAGTCCACCTTCGAACGCGCAAAGTCAATACTTGGTTGACCAATTACTGGATGGCTGACTTGCATTGGCTCTTGTTCCTCAGACCGGGACTCAGAAAGAGAACTTTCTGATACGACGTTCAAGATTGGCTCTGCATCAGTAACTAAATCTTTGTGTGCATCGATCTTAGAAGTCACTTCTGGAGACTCAACTAGTCTCATTTCAGGCTTCAATGTTTTGAATAAGTCATGATCTTCGTCTGAAATAGCTGGTTCTGCTTGGGAAGTCCCCTTGGTTACTCCGCTTGTCACTGTATCGCTTATATTCATTGATGAATCGCTTATACTCATTGATGAATATGACTTTCGGCAATTTGCACAAAGTTTAATTTCCTCTTCTGTTGGTCTAATAACAGAGTACGTACAACCACATCTAGAACAAATTAACATATCCTTAACTTCTGGGAAATCATCTGAAACTACAGAAGTTGCACTATCACGTTCCACAAGACTTTCAAAGCCATCTTGTCGAGAATGAAGTGTAAGGTCCCCTCTGAAATCAAGCTGAACACTCGGTGAAATATCATGGGTTTCATGCCCCATGTCTTCACTTTTCTCGAACATAAATACTTCATCATCAACATTAGAATCTGGCAGTGGCACCTTCACACATCCACTAGTTGCATCATCCTGGTTTAGTTCACTCTCTTCGATATCATGTGCGCCACCCATATCTAGATCAGAGCTTGCATTACTACTAGTCGTTACTGAAGAATTCCAAGCGGGACTTGCCTTGCCAGCATAAAGGGTTGAACTAGGGACACTCGAGAGCAGTGGTCTGAACATATTCTGAGGACCTCTCCTATGATCCTACACAAGAACATGAAAACATTCAACATTGTCATTTCCTCGTATTCCCTCCGTCCCAAAATAAAAGTCCACAATGAAAAGGTACACGGTTTTGGAAATGTGTAACTATTACACATTTTTTAATCAACTAAATGACAATTGCACCATTAATAATAGGAGTAATGAACTTCTTCATGTCATAATTAAGTAGATACTTATTTTGGGATAAACTAAAATAGAAATGTAAACACTTATTTGGGGCAGAGGGAGTATATGGCCTTTCCATAAAAGGTCGTTGTAATAGTGAAAAAACAGTAGTAGTCACAAGTTGTATCAGACAAATGTTAATACAGAAGTTTCACTAGGCTCGAACCTCAGAGACAAAATGAACATCATATGGCATTTTGAATGTACTTTAAATAAGACCAACATCTTTCATCAGAGGGCACCAAAATTGTATACTTCCCAAAAAGGTGCCAATTTCTGGAAGTTGGCAAGTAAAACTGTAATTTTAATAATGTTTTAAGTGGTTTAAACTGACGATTACCGACATGGTGACATGCACTGATCTAAGAAGCAAAAAGAACTTTATGTAATTCAATAGATGGTTAAATACCATTTGTCGAAGTGCCAGGTCAAAGGATCTTTTTGGAGCAGAGCTAGAAGAAATTGGTCTGCTTGGCTTTTGGGAAAAAAGAGCTTTATTATTCCGAAAGCCGCTCACTTTCCTTGAATTTGACCGTTCTGGGCCGTCGAGAGTGATAGACGGAAGAGATTCAACTTCATCGTCAGCAGAAGAAGTGACTGAACCTTTACTGCGGGAGCTAAGTCTATCTCGATCATGACTATGAGATGAGCTGATGCTTCTAGAAGCAGTGGGTGACTTTGAATGTCTTCCGTTTCTTGAGGCTGGTGAGGACCCACGTATATATGACGCTGGCCGATCAGCCAAAGAAGTCCGGAGATTTGGGGGTGCTTCTGTGGAAAAACCAGGAATGTTGGCCTGCCATGCCCTTACCTTGGGTGAAGCCGAGTTTCCTCTACTTGTCTTGACAGGTGAAGTACCCCTTGCACCAGGGCTCATAGTACTAGTGGAGCCTGTGCTTAATCTCCGTGAAGTTGGTGTAGACTCCCGTGGGGCTGGTGAAGACGGTTTACTTGATGGGGGAGATAGTCTCCTCGATCCAGTAGTAGGCCTTAGAGTAGCCGGTGGACTAGAACTAGGCCCTGAAGATGCCCGACCTCTAGGTTGAAAGGTGGTATTACCAGATCGTGGAGATGGGCTCAAGCGATTTGGACTTGGACTACCTCTACTGCTTCTGTGACTCTTTTCCATCTGTAATCAAGCATACAATAGACACGTTGAAAAAGAATTACGATAGCATTCAAACACATTAACGTCTCTAAATGAATAAATCTAATATTTATAAGCTTAACCAACATAAACAACTTACTGTGGATGATCTCGAGATAGACATGGGTTGAGTTCGAGGCCTACCCCTCTGTGCAAGAATAATTTGAGGTGCCTCATCATCCAACGAGGGAAACAGAGGGGTATCAGGAGGAGTTATTAACCTTCATTTCCATAAATGAGAAATTAGTCTTGAAAACTAGAGTTTAATTAACTTGATAAGATGCTAAAAGAGATGGAACTAAGATAGAATTTGGAATAATAAACAACTAGCTTCACTCCAGATTTTAATTCTGTGGGACCATGGACAAATGCCAAAGTTTTACAAAAGCACCGAAAAAGTAATATATGACCAAATTAATAGGGATATATTCTCCAAATTTGATTCCAAAAAGATAGGAAGCATAACATGGTAAGTTTCAACTTTGGACTACAAATGAACATGCTTTTTTAGTTTCACAGTAAGTCAGTTACTAAAACAAACACCACATATCAATAACTGTAGGAGATAACAATAAGGCAGATCGTCCATTTCATTCATAATATGATTATCTTGATATGCCAAACTTAATGGCCAAAATCCAAAGTTGTATTAGATATGCTAAAGCTTTTGGCCTGTCTATTTTCACTCATGAACCATGATAATTTTACTGGGTTCTATCAGGAACAACACAGGAAACATGAAGTAGTGTACTAAAGCAGCAATATTTTGTTACAATGAAGAGTATATCACTATGAATGGTATGCATAGCAAGTGGATAACCAATTAAAGTATTTGGCCATGTACATACTAAGCATAAATCCTGCAAAAGGATACAACATATCCGCAAAAGGTGCTAACAAGTATGCAGTCCAATTTCTTTTCTCTTTGTAGTGGTAACATTTTACGTTGTCTTGGCTAGAAATTCAGAAAACACCAGTTTTCTCAAAGCTTCTTTTTCATGTCTCTCAACAAAAGGAGGTTCCAACCAACAAGAATCCTAATGAAACTAAAAAAGGATAACAGCCCAGCAGAAATTACTTGTTTAACTAGCGAGTAAAAAGCATAAGAAGCAAATGACTACCAACCATTCATAATCATTCTTTTCCTCTTCTGTATTAAGGAGATCACTGCTTTCTCCTCGAGAAGCAATGTTCATTCCAAGCTTGTGATCCGAAAAATGCCGCAACTTGGTCACTGCAAAATTGCAATTCAACAACATAACAATCACAAGTCAGCCAGAATAAGTAACAATGACATTTCTTTCATTCCATAATGTGCACAACCTTAAACTGATAAACAAAATTTGCAATCAACACAAGAATTAGTTCAATTAATATACAGATAGTAGTATGAAATCCACATGAAAAAAATCTTAAGAAATTACCAAAAGTGTCTTCAAAATCATCATTAGACTGCAGCAAGAAATCATCCCTCTCTCTGGTTTGCACTTCATTGAATAAAGCAAGATCATCATCTCTCTCTTTGAAAACTATTCCATTCTCGAGACTACGTCCTCTCTTGTGATTATCACCTCTTGGTTCCCTCCCTGGAGAATATCTCATCGCCGGTGAAGCAGGCATTTCTTTGTTACCTAATCTTTTCAACAACCATTAATCCCCAATAACGTACTCAATTGTATGTAAAACCTAACACTTTGTGCCTCTCAATTCCATCTTCAAATGCGATATTATGGAGTCCCGTAACTCAAACAAAAATCAACCTAATTCCCATGAAATCACCTCCAATTTAATATATAAACCTCACGAACCCTAAATACTTTAAAAATCAAGAGATCCAGTAACAGTTACAGGAAGAAAAAAACCCCTCAAAAAGTAGTCGAATTCAAACCTAACCAAATCAAATACTCTCTTTAATTCCAAATTCCAATTCCCAATTTCCAACCTCAAGAGTACAAGTAAAAAATTAGTCGACTCACCCGTACGGAAGTCAAAATCGTTTCAAAAGCAAACCAATTGATTGATGATAAAGGAGGACATCAGAGAGCAATACAAGTTAGGAAACGGAGGCAATTGGTCGGATCTGGTTGGAATTTGGTGGATCAAGGGTGTTTGTCGGTGGAAAGAAGTGAAAATTGGAGTGGAAAGAAACCCTAATGGAAGGGTACTCCGTGAGTCACGTGAAGAGAGGTGGAGTGATGATGGAGAAAAGGAAAATGGAGATGGAAGATGGAGATGCAGATGGAAATGGTGAGAGAGAGAAAGTGGAGGAAGAAGGTAGCAGAGCAGGAGCTGTTGCTTTGGTTCTTTCTTTCTGTGTCCCAGTTCACCATGTTTGCTGTTAATATTTCTTTAATCTTTTTATTTAGAGTAAATTACGTTTTTAGTCCCTATGGTTTCTTATAAATTGCAATTTTCGTCCCTATGGTTTTGAAATTGCGGGTTCTTTTCTTCCCTATAGTTTGCATGTAGTTGCTATTTCATTTGGCTCAAGAATAAACAACATAATTCATACTGAGAGGTAAATTAACCATTTTATGTCTTTCAGACTGTTGATTTAGATAACGAAGTAAACAACATCAATTTATCCAGACATACAAGTTTATCGAAACAAACAAATTTATCCATACAAGACTTAATATAAAATTTGGTAAATAGCTTCCAAGAGCCTTTTTATTAACAACTTAATGAACATAATAGTTATACATAATTGTATAGAAGTGGCTTAATGATGTAGAACGTGGTTTGTTCAATAAGTTTATAGGAAGAGCTATATGTAGAGAATCAAGTTTTTTTCAAACTTGTTCCTCCCAATTAAAAAAAATGCTTATACCATCTATGAAAAAATCATCCCAGACAAAAGTTTTTTCTATTTATACAGACAAATTCATTCATATAAACAACTTTATCTATACAAGACTTAATGAAAAACCAAAAAAGAGTAGAGTTGTAAACCACAGAATGAAAATTGCATAAAGCTATAAATCATGACGCCTAACACAACAAAAAAATATAAATTATTGGGATAAAAATTGTAATTTCAAAAGTATAGGGATAAAAACAGATATTTTGAACAAACCATAAGGACTAAAAGTATAATTTACTCTTCTTTATAAATAAAGAAATTCATAAGGTGGGTGGGGGTGGGGGTGTCTGAGGTTTTTAATTGCCTTTTTATTTTTGGATTATCTTTAAAATAAACCGTTATTAATTAATGATTATTACAAGATATTTATACAGTAATTATAATATATGATCTTATCTTATTTTTATTTCATTTTAAAACATTTTTAATAAATTTTCTAAAAAAAATTAGTTCTAATATTTTTTATATTTTAGAGATTACAATATTAATTATATTATTAAACAATATTAATATATTTAAAATTCCTATAAAATTTTCAATAAATATTATATAAAATAATAATATAATATTAACTCCGCCGATAGAAACAATAAAAAATCTAGTTCTATAATTTAACAGTCCATTTTGAAGAATTCTTAATAGCTATAATACTTTAAGAATTACATCTATAAATTCAACATTATAATTGTCTAATCGGTAAAGTAAATAATTTAAACAAATTTAGACAGTACTCAACTTACAAAATAAACAGTCTTATTAATTCACATTTTAAACTTTATAACCTACTCTTATTAATCAGAAGTGAAATAAGACTTCAGACTTTAGCACCTCTTAGAAAACAAACGTCATCTAAATATCTAAGAAAAATAACTAATATTTTATTCAATATATTGGATATCTTAATAATATAGTCAATACTGTAATTTGTTAAAATAGATGTATCTGATATTATATTATACCATAGTTGTTGGAGATGTTATCATCTTATTCAGATAAAAAAAAGTCTAGTTTATATTCCCCGGTCCCTTTTGGAGAATAGTTTAGAACATAAAACTGAACTACAATCTCCAAAAAAAAAAAAATTACAGAATTTGTTGGAGATTTTTTAAATGTCATCTGCTTAACTTGGATTCTTGATTGTAAACCAAAACAATAACTTTTTCAATAATTTTACATAATACAAAATAAAAACTGTTAATAATCAATAAAATCATAGTTAAATAATTTTGAGACAATAATACGAAGAATTTAATAATTGTTTGTTTACTTCTTAATAGTTCCATTAAGCGGCAACATCTGAATCGTTAAGAGGTGAATCTTATTTGACAAAAAAAAAATTATCTCTTAATGATTCTAAAACTCTCTGAATAAATTTGTATATTGGATCACCCTTAACCATTCAGCGCCCTAATTTCATTGTAAACAATTACCAAATAACTATATTTCATTTTGCACTATATCATGAAAGCTCCTTAATCATTCTGAACCAAATTATTCAACAACTGCCAAACAACCCCATATCGACTTTTTAACGCAACTCCAAAAGATTTTTTTTTAATTTGCTTAAATATTGAACTAAAATTTAGAATCTCTAAGAAAATAAAATTCAACTCCTACATATTTTATATTTGTAGTTTTTGCATGGATTTCTTTATTTTACTGAACAAGTTAGAAAATCTGTTAAAAAGTATAAAAACTCAATTTTTCTGCAGTTCAAAAAATCTGTTAGAGATACTCTTAAGCACTAATAATTGGTGTCAACGAGTAGCTATTTAAGGTACAATCGATATACTTTGTTACAAAGTACAATTTTGAAGATAAGTTAACGACATTGTACTTTTTTCGTCCCAAACTCACGTGATCTTTTAAAAGAAACTACCGTAATTATGTAATGCACAATCCTATCCGCACCTCCTTTAATGTCGTAATCGGATCAAATCATGCATTAAGAATGTAAAAAAACATATTTTGATATTAATGTGTGTTGAGGAGGAAACTATTAAATTGGGTGCATTTAGCAATGCATAAGAGTGTAATTAGTCTCCCCCTATCGACTACAGGGTCATTTACCAAAACGCTTATCCGGGTAAGTGCTTATCAAGTCACATTACCCCAATGAATAAATATTGTAAAGACCAAGAATCTTACCCGGTAAGAGCGAGACAAATATCATGAGTCTTACCCGGTAAAAGAGGGCGACGACTCTTACCATGGTAAGCGTTTACCGGGTAAATTGTTGCATATGATGTCGTTTTGGTGGACTAAAATCTTACCCAGTAAGTAAATAATAATGTTAAATTTTACCGCTAAACACTTATCGGGTAAGTGTTTGGTAAACGGCCCTTACATAGATTTTAATCAAATTTATTGATAAAAAATGTTTATTTGCATTAAGATTAAAAACAAAATTCGATGGATAAAATACCGACCATCTCAATCGTTATTAATACGATTTAAGTAATTAATTAATAAATAAATGTAATTATAATTAATTAATTAATTAATTTGTATAGAAATTGAATTGGGTGATAAAACTAAAAGGGGGTTAGGGTTTAGCCATCAAAGGAAAATGAATGTTGGTCATATGGGAGGTGTCAAAGAGTTGGTGATTGTTTTGGGGACCAACACAATGAAAAAGTCTTAAAAGCACCATTTATTTAAAAAGAGAAAAACTATATTAATCCCAATATTTCAAGATTTTAAAATAATTGTCTGAGTTTTCATCAAAACATGTATGTGATATATATATATATATATATATGTGGGCCTAATCAAATGAGAACTAATTAGTTTGTAGTAACTGTGAGAACCAATATTAACCACAAATTAATAGATAAATTAGAAAATTTATAATTTTGGCAATTTTGAATTAAAATATTAATGCAAGGATATTTTTGGTATTTTAAAACTTTCCTCCCTCCTCTCTTCTCTCTCCGGCCACCGTCATTTGGTGATACTACAATGGTATCGCAATGCATCATATATGTGCTTGAGTATCACATTAATGTCGTTTGTGTGGTCGATCGAAGATGTAACACAGTGGTATCACTATGCATCTTATATATGATTAGGTATTACAATGTATCTTTTGTTTAACAGAGTCAATATTTTTA